CTGGACTCGAGTGCAAAAGCGCGAAGACGACCAGGAGTGCGGTGCGCGGTGGGACGCTCCAATTTCGATTTTTATGTCCTGCCGGGTGTCTTCCACGAGGAAATGGTCGATCTCAATTTCAAGCCCACACAATGGAAGTTGCCTGCCGGGCCGGGGAAAGGGGGGGGGGGGATTACCACCGATATCCTAATTCGGAACCGTTCTCCCGCGTCCCTCGCGCCGCGTTGACTGATTTGATGGTGGCGCGTCCGACGGCGGCTCGTCTGGTCAAACCGGAAGTAGTGGTGGTGTTGCCACGGCGGCCGCGCGCCGTTGCCGCGAAAATGAGACACTATTGAGTTTAGAAGTGCTCTCCAGCCCAGCCGGGGGGAGCCCTGCGGCGGGGCGGCGCCGACCGGCCAGCAGCGTCCGGCAGTCGGCGGCGGTAATGTCCCGCCAACGGCAGCCGCCGGCCACAAGCGATCGTGGTAATGGTCGCCGGCCATAGATTCGATCTATAAAACTGACGCCCATCATCAGCGGAGGCTGAAGGGGTTAAGGCACTGGCTCAGCAACTACGGCGGAAACATCAACAACATCAGCGACAACAACGGTGACGACACCATTTTTCACTATTGAAAGTAGTCAGTGCACTGTAAAAAAAATAAGTGCGATTTTGCCCACCGTGGGCTTGGCAACACCACACATGAAGTCCAGGGCGGGTAAAAGTCAGGACCCAAAGGGAGTGCAGATACACCAACCCGAAGGACGAGTGAAATGACCCGCCCTTTGGTCGTGAGGGGCGGACCCGCATGCCCAACTTTCAATTTTACCACCGTGGGCAAGCAAAGACACTCTGCCTGCCCAGGGGTTGTTGTGTGGGGTTGCCAAGCCCATGGGTGGGGAAAAATGCAAACTCTGGGCAAAGTAATTACCCGAGCCGAATTTTCCCGGCTCGGACTTCTCCCTCCATCCAACTGAACGTTCAATTCTAACAGATATATTAACGCACATTAAATCAAATTCTTTTACCTTTGCTGTTACCTGGACTCGAACCTCGGACCTCTGGGTTGCTGCGCCACATCCTTGACCACTAGGCTACGGTGAACTCACAGGTAGAGGAGCGTCAGCAACCCATGTTGTGCCTCAGTTCGAGCCGCAGACCTCTTCGCTTTGAAGTAACAAGTCCTGACTAATATCTACTGTCTAGTAAATTCCCCGTTTCTTATTGAATGTACACAACCTCGTGTCATCGTTTTAATACTAGAATTAAGAAAAATTACAAGTTTTTTCCCCCTCCGTGGGCATGCAATGGCCCCTCTACTTGCCCAAAGGTGGTAAACTTGCCAAGCTGTCGCTGGAAATTCGCATGTGTGAGCGCGTGAATTTACAACTCGTGGGCACGTAGAGGAGAATCACATGCCCACTGTGCAAATTTCGAGAGTGGGTTGTTAAATCCGCAAGTTTGGGTACGAAAATAAACCCACCCGTTGGGCGTGCATATGGGCAATGCATGCCCACTGGGTCATCAAATCAACTTTGCAAGACCGGTAGGCAAAGTAGCTAGTCCACTGGGCGGGTTAAATTCCACTCATTTTTTATAGTGTGCCTAAAAACAAAATTGCTAATTTCATCGTGAGAGGAACATGGCGCATCCCATGCACAGCAGCGTTCTTCTTATTGTTTCCTGGTCGACAGTGTCGGTATGGCCGCACAGCAGCGCAGCAGCACAGCACACGGAGAGGCTCAACACCTGGCTAACTGCTGCAACACGACGGGCCGCCCCGCCCCACCCCGCCCCGCCCCGACCGATAACTGAGCAATGAGTGAGACATTAGCTAACGCTCCCCGGCTACCGGCCGACACGCAGCGGCACATGGAATATACGCGAGGCAGAGGCAGGGCGAGCTTCCTCTGCTCCAGACCAGCTTCCCGCCAACACCAATAAGGCGACTAACTACTTACTTCTCTAGCAGCTTCTCCACTAGATCACTCCGACACCCCCAAAATCACGTGTTCTCAATTGTTTTAGTAAATTTTTTATGTACTTGATTCTCACGAGTGCATTGCATTGAACTTCACGGTAATAAAAAAAAATCTTGGATTTCAAAACTATTTATTGAATTTCAAGGACGGTTGGATACTTACTACTCCAGATCGACCCTTGAAATCCGAGAATCTGCCGTGAAACCATTTGCTTCCAAGGAAAAGCCTTGGAATTTTAGGACTGAAATTCAAGCGGGTTGCCTTGGATTATCAGACGAAAATTTCCTTGGCAGCAAATGGTTTCAACTTCGCGTTGGGGGAGAGGTGACCCGCGACTGACATATTACAAAAGTGTCCTTCGTGCGTCCTTTTTTAAACGTTCCAGCAAACCTTTGGGAGGCTTGTGCCCAGCAGCCTCTGCTGGGTATGTGTCTCTCCAGCACCTCACCGACGACGTGGCTCGCTCCAGCACTCTCCGCGTTTCTCCATGAGCTCGCAGAGAGTCAACTCCAGCCCACTCCACGCGAAGTGTGAAGTATATACAACTCATAATCAGCCTCTTGAAGTATCTCTCCGGGCTGGTTCCAGAAGTCACTCCGCGGCAGCATCCAGTACAAGCCAGAGGTGTGGTCCATGGGCGCCCATATAGGCGGGCGCGGCGCGGCGCGCCGCCGCTGTGGCGGTGGTGGTGTAGTAGTTAAAACGTTCTCGTTACCGTAACGAGAAAGAGTTCACAAGGCGACCGCCGCTGCACTACACGCGGCACGGCAGGCCGTGGGACGGGGGAGCAGGCGGCGCTGGGTGAGACTTTTCGTCACCCGTTTCGCTCGCGCGCCCGTGGTGTGGTCCTTATCTCCCCTTTTCTCTCTACCTTCTCTTTTGCTCTTTTTCTCTCTCTCTCTCTCTCTCTCTCTCTCTCTCCATCTCTCTCGCCATATCTATCTCTTCTTATCGCCTGGAGGTACACCGAGAGGAGCAAACAGCGTTTGGGTGATAACAGAGGCGCGCGGTGGGTTTGCTGGCTGGAGCTGGAGGCCACCCGTACGTGTGCGTGTGCGTGTGTGTGTGCGTGTGTGTGTGTGTGTGTGAACGCACTGGTAGTAATGCAAGGAAAGCGTGCTGGGGCCTCCCGGCTCGACTGTTCAGCCGCAGTAAACGCCACACGGGCTGCGCGCGCTTCCTGCCTGCTAGGATAGTGATAGTATGTAGACCAACAAATTTTCACAGGAAAGTTGACTATAAAAATCAAAAGCTTTGAGGTTTGTTGCTGCATAAAGATTGGAACGAAATTTCCATAAAACTTTAAGTCTATAAAAAAGTTAATTAAAATGTCACTCTGTTTAGGATACATTTTCTTGAAAGTTGTGTCTCCCACTTGCTGATTCTACTGCTCTCACCTGTAAGCATGTCGGAGAGCCCCGAGGCTCGCACGGCTCGCAGGAAGGTGCCGAAGCGCCTGTCCTTGTCGGCGGTCATGGTCTGGACCAGGTCGCCGACGGGCAGCGGGAACATGACCCTGTCGACGGCGTGCGCCACGCCCTGCGGGATGGACAGGTCGCTGAGCTCCTGCAGCACCTGGGCGCCGTTGATGGTGACGACCTGCAAAACCAGCGAGGAACGAGACCGTCATCGTGTATAATGGAGGGAGGGAGGGAGGGAGGGAGGGAGGTTCGTTCCCTTTACGTCATCGTGCGCCGCCGTACGGTACGACTCCTTCGGCCGAGCGGTGTATGAGGAATTACCCGCTCAGAGGCGCACGATAAACCAGCTAATATCCGCGATCCGCCTCCGACACCGCGAAGCAGCAGCAGCAGTGCACCGCCACCGCGGCGCTCGATATTTCTCTCTCGGGCAGCAGCAGCAAGGGCTATGCGAGGGCCGCTTGCCAAGAGGCCGGGACACAATGCCCATAGCGCCCGCGACGACTTCCGGGGACCTGTCCGGTGTCCGCCCTCTCCGGGGCGATAAGGCAGTCGCTCGTGGGGCTTGTACGCACCTGGACGTCGTTCCACTCGTCGTCCTGCGACGTGTAGGTGTTGACACGGAGCTGCGTCCCGGCCAGCGACACGCCCGTCATCTCGTCCTGGAGCGCCGCCAACCTGAAGGCGCCGGGGATCACGTGGTGCAGCAGCAGCTGGACGGGGCAAAGAGAGGAGAGGGCAAGGCGCGCGTCAGAGAAGCGGAGCGAGTATATGAGGAGGAATTAACATAGTAGACCGCATAGCGCACAGCGCCGCCAGAGGTCCTCGTTCCCACGACTGCAGGCGGGTGCAGTGCAGTACCTCTGCCCCGCAGGGGGGCGCACTCATTCAGGTTATTGCGTCAGTTTTAAGGTGAGGGCTATTGTTATTAAGCGGGACACGCTTTATATTTATTGATATGAACTCAGAATGTTTCGATGATCAACGTGATACACGACGGTCACATTACAACAAGGGTAATGTTTTCCTGCCGGGAGCTGGGGTAACTGAATCATCACCCCAGATAAGCCCGTCTTTGCATCAAGCAAAATGTTCTTGTAGCTGTACTTCCTCCGCGAATTCTACAAGTGCACCCAGAAAAACTGTTTCTTGTTTCAAGTAAATTTCTTCTTGTTTTGCGCTGACACATATACAGTTTACTCTTGAAACAATCTGATCTTATCTCTCGGATAAGTGAAAAATCTTATTCCAAACACAATGTTAACTGGTTTCAAGGGTGAATTTTATCTTGTGCTCTTGAAACAAGAAACTATTTTTTTCTAGGTGTGGAATTGATGCAAATTGCAATCATCTTGGATTAATCACAGGTTTACAAGTCAAGGGCAAGGAAATTTTGCATGATCCAAAAACGCATACTTTCCTGAGTGTACACACGCTGAAGTTCCTATCGCTTGCAGAACTCCGCTAGATAGAGCCAGAAAAGAAGCACCTCATCCCTTACGAATCCTTGTTAGGCTAAAGCTGGCCGCGTACTTTGTTGCGCTGGCATAGCATACGGGCCCCGCAGCTGCCGCCGCGGGGACACCCACTCGCGGCGGGCTCAAGGAGAGGACGAGTGAGAGTGAGTAGTGAGTGAGTGAGTGTTCTCTCACGATCATCCCGGGCTGCATGCGCGCGGTGGTTGTAAAAGGGCCGCTGCCGGCGCTCTGCTGGCCTGGCAGAGCCCGGGCACACGGCCCGCGCCCGGCGATAGGTCCAATGCCAAGAGAAAGGGCGATAAATTGGATCTTTACGCGTCCCGCGAGAGGGCCGGCGGCGGTACGGCCGCTACTATTGTACTTTCATAACACTACTGCGCGCGACTCAGATAGACCGTTTTGGTCTTTGGCGGCGGCGCTGGCCGCTGCCGTTGTTATTGAGCTGAATGGTTCGTCCAGCTGCCGCGCGGTACACAGTGGCAACGGCCCCCCGAGGGGAGGCGGGCCGCCCTCTCGTGCCGCGGCACGGCACTCCCGCTCGCAAAAATGTGTTGTTACTTCAAGTACATTTTGACCCGAGATCAATTTTAACTCTTGACGCGAAGATGATATTACCAGTCGATTAACAAAATTTTCCTACTCTACACAAAAATAAATAAATCTTGGGTCACTTTTAGTCCGAAATGTACTTGAAACAAAAAAATATTTTTTTCTGGGTTGGAGAGGCCGTGCAAAAATAGCGTTATTTACTTTTGTAACGGGTGGGGGTAACTTTTCACATGAGACGTCCATACCGACAAAAACGTTGGTAACAGCTTGGTGGAATAACTTTATCACGGCACCTTAACCAGCTGCCACCAATAACCCTCAAACTAGAAATAAAAGGACCAACCGCGGGAAAAATTACACCCACAACACCTTCAAAATTGAGTACTCTCCACCCAACTGAACTACTACGAGGCAATGGCAAGCTGCGTCACCACGCCGCCTGGCCCGGCGCGGTAGCGGTCGAGGATGGCAAAATAAAATTATAGGACTGGCGGGATTCAGACCGCCGCCGTCTCACTCGCAACTACTGATTTCCACGCGGAGCGGCGGCCGCGGCGTGACCAGCGATACCCGCGGCGGGGCGGGACGGGGAGGGGCGGGGCCCGGCAGGGGCGACGCGACGCGGACCAAAGCGGCTGCAGCCATGGCGACGACTCCCCGGGCCGTCGCGTTCCCATCATTAGGTTATGCCACCACCCGGCCGCGCCCCCCGGCCACCACCGGTGCCGACGACGGCGTCCTTGAGGAGGAGCGCGAGCATCCCGCCGGCCGCGTTTGGGGGGGACCACTCGCCTCTCACAGAGTGACATACGTACCCCGCTGAGCAGTCGCGGGTTCTCCCGGAACTTCTCCTCGGCGCGGTCGGGGCCTCCCAGCTGCACGAGGAGGGTCTTGAAGGCGCGGTCCGTGGGGATGAACACCGTGTACGGGCCTGCAACACATGGAAAGGGAAAAACAATGGTCGACGGCGAGCTTGCTTCAGGTGAAGAGGCAAAGGTTCCATCGGGAAGCTGCCTGACAAGAGGAACCCAAAAGGTAGCACTGGCGGGATTGATCAATCCCGCGAGGTCGACCTGGCGTAACGACAGTCTAGCTGAGGTTAGGTTCGCGTGTCATAAGATTCCAAACAGTTTTGGACGGGCCTATGCATCTGGCTTTTTGGTGTCACATTTACCAAGGTTTATTTAGACAGTTAAGATATTGTCGTTAAGAAAAACAAATTGTACCAATGTGTCCGTACACTAACCTCAAAAACGACACCGGAATGGTTTCGAACATTGTGTAAACTTACTTTTCAAGGCCGAAATTAGCAGAACCACTATTTAACTAAAAACTGCTCTAGCCATGTAATCTAGACCCGTTTCTTTCACAAATTCTACAAAACTTGGTTTGAAAGCCGATGAACATACATCGACTCGCGGGGCAAAACACAGTATGGTCATCTGCGTTCTGGTTTGTTTAGGAACGACGCTGCGCCACACGCCACATCCTGACCTGAGGTCGACCTTCTTCTTGTTCCTCTTATTGGACAGTTTCCTGATGCATATTTTCTTACACTTTTACACAAAACTAAAAAGTAAAACAGTTTCCGTGTTTAGTTGAAGAAAGTTGGTACGTTCTATTTAGCAGTGCGGCATCTTACCCGTGTCGTTGAGGATGCTGTCGAGCCCGGACTGCCGCAGGAAGCGCGCCATGGCGTGCAGGCCGTTGCGCTTGAGGGTGTCGATGAGCGAGTCGGGCGCCCTGTCCGCCACCCGGATGGCAGACACGTTCGCGTACTTATTGTGGTTGACGCTGCTGTAGAGAGAGCGGTGGTTCTTATCCGAGGGCTCGTCCGTGTCCCTGTCGTAGTACGAGGTCGTCGGGTCCGGGTAGCTCGGGAAGTGGGTCTCCGGGTTGTACTGGTCCTTCTGCTGGAGCTGGGGCTCCACCGAGTACGGGCCGGGCTCGGCCGTCGAGGAGGGCAGCGCGTTGTCCGGGATGGGCGTGACGGTGGGCAGGAACTGCTGCGTGGGGGAGTAGTAGTTGGAGGGCGCGGGGCTGGGCGTCGAGCTGGGGACGGGGATAGAGCTGGGGCTCACGTTCGGGATGGAGCTGGGGCTCGGGTACGACGGCGAGGACGACGCCGACACTTGCCAGTTGGCCTCGGGGTTGGTCGTCGGCTCCGTGAAGTAGGAGTTGGGTCGCGGGCTGCTGTGCGTGGCGGGCACGGCGTCAGTGTTGTAGTACGACTGCCCGGCCGTCACGTAGTCCGTAGTGTTGGAGACCGTCGGCGAGTACGTGTCGTAAACGGTCGACGGTGGTGCGGGTGACGTCGGCACGGAGGAGTACGTCGGTCTGGACGTTGACGACGAGTAGGGGAAGTCGTCCGGGGTGGCGGTGCTGTAGATGTTGTTGGGGCTGGACAGGTCGCCGGAGCCGCTGTTGACGTACACCTTGATGTTGTTGGTGACGGGGTCGCTGTAGCTGGTCGTCGGGGTGCTGGCTGTGGTCGACGAGCCGTACGTCGGCGCCGACGGCGAGGCGTACGAGTCCGTGGACGAGCTCCTGACGGGCGGCGCTGCCGTGGTCCTCTTGGCCACGTTGTTGTCCCGGGACGGCGGCGGCAGTTCGATCTCACCCGCCTTGATCTTCTTCAGGATGGAGTCCACCTCCTCGCCGCCGTTCTCCTTGCTGGCCTCGTTCCCGCGCACGCCCTGCACCTTGTACGAGCCGTCCTGCTGCTCCTCGAGCAGCACGAAGGTCACCTTCTTGTCGGGCGACGACGAGGGCACGCCCCGCACCGACTCCAGCCGCCCGTCCTCCGTCTTGCGGATGATCTCGAAGTCGGCGCCGTGGGGGATGACGCCCCTGGTGAGCTCGTCGATGACCTTCTTGGGGGGCTTGGGCGTTGTCGTCGGGGTGGCGGTTGTTACCTTGGGTGGGATGCCCGCCTTTTGCTTGGCGAGCAGGGCCTGGGCCTCCTTGGCGGGGAGCTGGATCACCTGGTACTTCTGGCCGCCGGAGGTGATGATGGGGCCGGTGGCGTTCTTCGGGAGGAGGTCCGTGGAGGTCAGGATGTTGGAGGGCAGCACGCCGGCCTCCGGGTCCAGCTTGAGCTGCTGGATCAAGTCCTTGCGCTGGCTGAACTGCTCCTGGAGCTGCTTGAGCAGCTGCTCCTGGAGGTCTGGCGGGTGCACGATGTCGTCCGTCTTGACCTTCGGGGTGGACTTGGTCACCGGCCGGGGCGTGCTGGGCTTCTGCTGGTAGGTGATCTCGATGATCTCCTTGGGGGGCTTGGTGGTCTTGCGCGGCCGCGGCGGCCGTGTGGCCTGCTCCGACTGGTGGGCCTTGGTGATCTGGTCGAGGAGCTGCTTCCTGTCCTCCTGGATGTGGATGGCGGACGAGTAGTCGCTGGTGGTGGTCTGCACGGTCTCCCCCTGCCCGTACTGCAGAAGGTGGTTCTCCAACCGGATCTTGGCGTTGCGGGGTCGCTCGGTGCTGCGCGCCTGCTCCGCCTCGGACACGGCCTCGTTGAGGTGCTTGACGCTCACCAGCGAGTACTCTTCCTCGAGCTCCTTCGGGAACTTGATCTTGGGCAAGGTCGGCAGCAGGGTGGGTCCCAGCTTGGGCTGTTTGCGGTCGCCGAAGTACAGAGGTTTATTCTGTCCGGAGCTGTGCACCTTCGGTGCCTCGGTGACGACCTGGGGCCTGGTGACGGGGATGATCGGCAGGTCGTGGATCACCTCCGACCGGGGCGGCTGCGTCCTGGACGGCGGGAAGGGGGTCACAGCCGGCTCAAAGTAGTCGGGGGTCGTCTGGTGGTTACTGAGCAGCGGGTCAATCTTGTTGGGCTGCTTGTTCTGGTTGTTGTGGTTGTTGAAGCTCTGCGAGAAGTAGTTCTGCGACGACGTGGCGATCGTGTTCTCCTTGGCGTACTCGGCCGAGCTGTACCGGGGAGCGTCGTGCTCCTTGGGGGCGCTGGGGCGCTGGGGTACGGGCGCGGGGTTGATGAACAGTGGGTCGTGTTTGGGCGGCTGTCGGTAGGATTGCTCGCGGAGGGGTTGTTCTCGCAGAGGCTGCTCACGAAGGGGTTGTTCCCGAAGGGGTTGTTCTCGTAGGGGTTGTTCTCGTAGGGGCTGTTCTCGAAGAGGCTGTTCTCGAAGCGGCTGTTCTCGAAGCGGCTGTTCTCGAAGCGGCTGTTCTCGAAGCGGCTGTTCCCGAAGTGGCTGCTCTCGTAGTGGCGGCTCGCGGAGAGGCTGTTCTCGTAGAGGCTGCTCGCGAAGAGGCTGGTCGGAAAGAGCCAGACCGCCGCCGAAGTGCTGAGGGAACGACAGGAGAGCGGCGTCGTCGAGCTGCTGCTGCTGCACGAAGAGCACGGGCTGCACCGGGGCGAGTCCCTGTCCCGGAGGCGGTAGGAAGTTGACGGTCGGCTTGTCGGCGTTAGAGAGCGTGATCTTGTACGTGTTGGGCTGCTCGACGTCGCTCTGGAAGCGGAAGGGCGGCGGCTGCCTGGGGATCACGTTGAACTGCTCCTGGTGCGACTCTGGCCGCAGCGCGGGCCGGTGCAGCTGCTGAGTGTACTCCGGTCGCGGCGGGCGCGGGCGCAGCGGCCTGTGCTGCGGCTGCGGCGCGGGCTGCGGCAGCGGCTGCAGCTGGGGCTGCAGCTGCAGCTGCTGCTGGTGGAAGCGGTGGTGCTGGCGGATGTCCTCGAGGATCTGCGACTGCTGCTGCGGCGACAGCTGGTGCAGGCGCGGGTCGAACCGGGGATCGTCCGGGAACCGGAACTGCAACAACGAACAAACAAGAGAGCGAGAGGTTAGGTCAGGTTCGGTTCGGTTCGTCTTGCTGCCGATGCTCCGCCGCTGAGCTCACAGGAAACTAGTTCACGCCGGGTCACTACTACTACTACTCGTTGCGGTGCAACGCGTGGCGCGGCCGATGCGCAACGCCAGAGCCGACACCTCGCGGCCCCGGGCCGGGCCGGGCCGGCCCCTCAGGCCGATGGCCGCGCCGATAGCACCTCTCTTATGGCCGCGCACCGCACTCGCGGGCCGGACAGGCGCGCCGAAGACTTTTAGCCGACAAGTGTTATTGCCGCACCTCGCCCGTGCCGCCCACCCGGCCGAGGGAGTCAGGAGGAGGAGGAGGAGTGTGCCACAGCGCGCCGCGCGCATCCCCTGGGTGGGAAAGGTGGCGAAAGCAACGGCTACGATTGGCTGTGCCAGGGCGGGAAAATACAACAGCGCGGTGGAAAAGAACGCGCGCGGGGCCGAGAGGTGAACGTTACGTTTATGCGCACTACTTTTATGACTTTAGGTTCGCGTTCCCTCTCGGCTGCTTTGCTTTGGCGTTTTAAATGAAAAGAACGCGCGCGATCGAAGAAGAAAGGGGAAAAACAGTCACCGCGCGAGAGAGGCTTTCGTCGCCGAGGCGCTCGCGGTGGCAGCCCGCTGTAACGATCGGCAGCGTTACGTCTCGAGCGTGTTGAAGCGTGACGCACAAGGCCCCAGTGTCACGCTCGTTTAACAGCATAAGCATTCGCGCGGCGCTCGCAGCCGCCGGACCATACGGACCCAGCCGGACCTCCGGGTTCAGACGGCGTTTTTGCATTTTATATTTGTTCCATAAGTGACGAATCCGCACTGAAAATGAAGCGTACGAATGTCGCAATCCCGTAGGTGAGTATAAATAGGTTCACACACCTGCAGATGAGTGAATCACCATGAGGACGAGTAAATGGCTACCTTGGGTTCTTGTGGATCCCCAGTGTGTGCACCGATGAAACTGTGCAATCAGTTGGGTCAGCTGTCTGCCGGTCGATTGTCTCTACGACAGCTAATCCGCCACTCACAATACCACTCGCTTTTCCCGCTGCTTCCGAAAGAGAAAGTCCTGGGTGGATCCTTACATGCCGCGCCGGCGGCGCCAACCCTCTGGACCGGGCTAACGCGATTGCACCGACCAGAGCGGGGCGCCGTCGCCGTCGTCCTCGTCGTCGCCGTCCTGCTCGCACTCGAGGGCGCCGGTGTTCGGGAGCGACGGAGACGGAGACGGCCACGAGGGCGCTGAACGGACTTGTGCTCCGGCAGCTCCAGCCCGGCGCAATCTCGCTCTAATCCCCCGCTCCGGCCGGCATTGTGGCGTCCTCCGGGTGCTCCGGCTCCTGGCTCCGGGGAGGGTTAAGGGCAGCGCGCAACAATGGGGCGCCCGCGCCTCGCCGCCCGTTTGGATACGTCATCCTCCTCCTCATCCTCCTCCTCCTTCCTCACTTATCCTCATCCTCATTCATGAAACGAAGCGATCCCGAAGCACCATCTAGTATCTGCAGCACGCGGAGGCGACTCTGATACACCCAGACGGGCACTGACCGGCACTGGGGCAAGCGCAAGTGACACGTCACTGCCTGGTGTATCCCCCATGACGAATGACGTATTAGGACGGCACAAAACTACCTCTGGCTCCTTTCGAAAGGCAGAAAGCTCTTTCAGGAACTTGTGTGGAACTTGAAAACTAGGCGCGGCAGGAGGGTGTTCTGTTCACGTCACAAATTTGTTTCCCCAACGGCCCTATGTCCCGATTCCGTGCGATATCTGTCGTCGGAGCAGGGGCATCGCGTTCGTATAATCCGACATATTGGGCAAGGGGAGGTGGCATCGGATTCCCTCCTCCTTGCAAACGCAACACTGCCCCGCCGCTCCGCCAGCGGCAGCAGCAGCGGGACGACGACGATTCATAAATATGCGATAAGCCAGGCCAGCCGGCCGGGCCCGGCCCGGGGTTCATCATCACGGCCCGCTCAAAAGAATTCGTCGCCGCTTATTGGCACGGGTTGGGCGGGTCGGGTCGGTTAGCTTGACGTGCTCCGAGACGATGAGGCGACAGGAAGCTCGTCACATTTCGCAACGGGCGGCGCCGACGGCGGCGCGGGTTTAACCCTTCCGCTGCTGCTGCTCCCCTCCCCGTCCAAATCATCGCCTCCTTCCTTCTTCTCTCTTGGCGCCGCCGCGCGAAAAGATGCAGGGGGGGAACAAGTTGGCACCGGGACAAATGTGTCACTTTCGCGGCAAAATGTTATCATCATCATCTTCTCCATCTCGTCCAGCTCATCGGGTGGGAAAGCGTGGAGCGTGGACGACACGCGGCGTGACACGCGGCCGTTGGCTGCTCTGCCGCCGCTGCTGCTGCTGCTCCAGCGGGCCCGGGCTGACCACCTGCGGCGCCGACAAACATAACCTCACGTCACCTGCTGCTTCCGCGTGACCTGCCTCAATATGAGGAGCGAGGCAGCTAGCAGGAGGCGTCGTCCCCGCTTACCCAACCCCATCAAATGAAATGGAGAGCGCGGGAAAACCGCTTGGTATTTGAACGAGCCGTTTTTGAATAATAACAACCACCACCACAACACGATATCGAGCTGACGCCGCCACCACCGCCGTAGCAGCGGACGGGTTCGTTTATGACCAGTTATTCCAGCAGCAGGAGGAGCAGCTCGTGCGCGCGCGCGCCGCGCCCTCTCCTCCCTCAAGAACGACGACCGGGCGGCGGCGGCGTTCCTCACATAATGCGATGAGACTATGAGAAATTGCGACGCGGCAAACTGGTTCCCCTCCCATATCATTGGCATTACACACGCGCGCTCGCACACTCACACACACACACTCACACGCGCGCGCTCACACCTCACTGCAGCCTGGATTAGCCTTTCTATATCGGCTGCCGAGGGGGTGTGTGGAGCCGTCGTGTCGGTTGTCGCAATACAAGCGGGCAGGCGTGCGGCAGGGTGCGAAAAGGCATGCCAATCTCCCCGGAGGGCAACACACTTTCCTCCTCGTCGTCGTCGTGTTGTCCAGCGGGGAGAACCACGGCAGCGCGCGTGAGCTGCGCCTCTCGCCCGTCGTATTGTCCTGCTGTGAAGTGCACCGTGCACCGGGCTGTGTGGGAGGGAGGGGGAGCGAGAGACAGAGAGAGAGACAGAGAGAGAGAGACAGAGAGACAGAGAGACAGAGAGAGAGAGAGAGAGAGAGAGAGAGAGAGAGTAAAGGAAAGAGAGAGGGTGGCGACGGCGCGCGGGTCACCCTCGCAAGCCAAGGCGGGGACCAATACGGCCTTCTCTCTAACACGCCGCGTAACAGGCTGGCCGGGCAGGCCGTCGGCCGCCGTGGCCTACTCGGGACGGCATGACCATCCTCATGCAGTCGGTCCCCTTCACTCGGCCCAGTCGTCGGCCCGGTCGTCGGCCCGGTCGGCCCTAACCCAGCAGCCCACTGAACCACATTATGCGCAGCGGGGATTGATTCGCACAAACAGCTGCAGGTGGTGCAGCTGCAGGTGCCCA